CGATCCAGCAAGCAGGGCAATGCCGAGCTCCTCGGCACACCCGGGGCTCCAAACCCACCTCCCTATCCGGGAAGCTCCGATGGTGCCAGGGAAGGAAGGCCATGGAGATGCATCTGCTCCCATTAGAGGCATTAGCTACAGGGCAGCGTCTCTGGAACTACCCAAACCAACAGTAAATCAAGAACACGGGAGGGACAGTCCATCTGCTCCGCTCTCCTGCGCTCCTGGAGCACACGGTCATGCACCAGGTTGTCCTTGACCCGACAGCTAACGAAGCTCCTTTGCCACCATGGAAATTGCTTCCCCTCTACCCCAGCTATTTCCGACTTGACATCTATCATATCCATAAATCTCAAACCTGTTGAGAAAAAAAGTGACATGAGCTATGGTGTTTTACAGCAGTTAGCACTGTGATTAATTACACTGAGTCTGGCTGCTGCTGAGACTATTTAGCCTATTGCTTAATGAACTAGGCCGTCAGCGCCCCATTTCATACACGTGTCTTAACACCCTTTGACTTCTGCTTCTGCTCATCAGCACAATTCAGTTCAGGCTATGAAAAGGGGAGAAAAGATCACTCCCATCTTCTGTGAGCAGAAGACACTACCACTAGTGACTGAGCTATTGGTGGGGCAGCACAGCCTGGAAAACTCAATGGTCTGCATGTCAGAAGATGGATAAAATGGAGATCAGTCTCCTTTTTATCCCTGCGTTTTGGGTCATTTACATCTTATTTGCACAGCTCTTTCCCCAACCTATAACAGTAATACTATGGCCTGCAAAATGCTCTCACATCCTTGCATGAGCATGCAGAAATTCCCAAGGGGAAAAACAAAGAACACATTAGGCAACTCGGATGCTTTGTGTGTCTGCAGGAATGGTTTTGAACTGCTAAAATTTCTTCCCAGTTAATAGAAGAGCTAAAAATCAACCGTTTCAATAAAACCTTCAGGTTGTGAGGCTCGAGCATCTTAGAGAGGTCAACAAAATGAAGTTCTGGGAATACAACTCACATTTCACAATATATGAGCTGAAGTGACGTGTTCCAAGATACACACAGAAACACTCTGATGCACCTCTTCATTCTCAAGCATCTCTTAACCTGTCAAAACTGACCTCCTCCTGCAGTGCTGACACAGCATGAGCCGTGCTGCAGCACTGCTGGGGACCACAGCAGTTGGAAACCATTCCCACTTACCAACTCCACGTGCGTGAGCTGCTGCGCCAGCGTGTAGGGGTCACTGCACACACTCAGGATTTCCCTCTGGATTGACGGGGGCTTGTTTTTAAAGGCAACCAGCTTATCTGAGACAGCAGCACTAATCTTGACAATCCCTTCTTGCCCATGGCTGAGGGTTGCAAGCTTCTGATTCAGGGTTTGCAAAAGCTGATTCATTTTTTTCCAGTAGGCCTGGGAAATGGAGAGAGAAAGAAATATAAACTACCCACAGAACTTGATAATAGAGTATTTTTACATTGAATTTCCCTACTGCAAAATACTTCTAAGCCAGCAACAGGTTACCACTTTATTTTCCACGAGCCTATTTCAGAATACGCAGTTGCCTTAATTACAGTTCTGTGCTCTGGACCAAGAGCCAGGCTGCAGCCCAGAGCAGGTGGGCTGGGCTGGCTGCAGTCCTAGCACAATTCTGCCAACACCAGAGCTGGGGGGATCAGAGGGTAATGCCAAAAAAGAGGTCCCCATCCTTTCTGTTAGGGGGAATTCTTGGCCAGCACTTAGCTCTTAATGCTTCCTGGTAAATCCCTATTTTCTCAGAATAAGAAATGGTTCTAGTGATAAACTCGCCATTCCTTTGAGTTGAGAGCAGCCGAAACACACCCCTATTCCTACTGTTGGAGAAGGCTGAGCATTGCAGAGCTCTGAGTATTTAATACCCCAAATGTTAATTGCTCTTGGGGGAGGCTCATATCGTATTCCAAGCACAGCCGCGCTCAGCAGGATGATCATTACCAAGGTGCTCAGGTTGCTCTCAGAGCTTCAACAGCTCTTCACGAACAGTAAGTGGAGCCGCTGGCCACGGAGGATGAAATGCCTTCAACTCTTCATGACTGACAGCTGCAGACTCTATAAAGCTGAGATAAATGAGAGAACAGGTGGATGGGCTCTAAAGAAATAATTAATTGAAAAAGTCCTTGGGCTAAAGACTCATGTGGAGCAGAGGGTGGCTTCACCCTGCTGAAGAACGAGACCTCATGGGCTCTCCCTGGAGGAGAAAGGAGCATCAGCCACGTGGGACGGTCCTTGTTGGAGAGCAGCCTGGCTGCTGCCCACGGGGAGCTGCCCATCCCAGCACACGGACACAGGGCAGAGATGCCCTCTCCCAATCCCCCCGGGCTGCAGCAAGTCGCCGCTAGCACCGGTCTATAGAGCAGCCAGGGCAGCACGCGCGCTGGCACAGAGCCCAGCTCCGCTCTGTTTGTGCTACGCGGCACCCTCCGTGCAGCCGTGATCCCCACGGCAGCAGCTTGTCCAGAAAGGGCCTTCCCTGCAAACCGACACACACCTGTGTCACACACACTGATACAGCCCAAAGGAACACCTGGAAAACGCTCCTGAACCCCACGCCTCAGATTCAGCCTTTGGCTTCAGTCTCCCCTAGCCCGTGGACAGTCTGACGTGGCCGGTGTTGACAACACTCGTGGTGAGGTGTCCGACCTACCCGGGCCAGGCTCAGTGTTCTTCTCACCAAACAGGATCCCGTCTGCAAACATCCTACTGCTTCACGCCCCATAACAACATGCTCTCACCTGCCCCGTTTTCACTCAGGTCAGAGGCTGGAAACCCTCAGAACACCCCAAGTGCTTCCACTTTTGCTGCAAGACTTTGTAACACCCATATGACTCTTCTAGCAGAAGAACTGGCATTATTGAGTACCTCTTATTTCACCCATGGAAGATGCCCTTTGGGCTGGGCATGGTCCAGCGAGCAGGATGTGGTCAGGCTATTTTGCAAAATATAGCTGACAAGCCCAAAATGAAATAAATACCTTGAAGGCAGGAGGGACTGCTCTGGGAAAATGTTCAACACATGTTCCATTCAGAGGCAAATCACAGAGGAGTGGGGAATAGTGAAACCACCATTAACTGAAGTAATTCCTGGGAAATCAGGAACCATTCTTTCAATATCATCTGCTGCTGACGTACCCGGGCTCCCAGGAGGAGAGGCTGCCAGGCCTGCTCCGCGTGAACCCTCCCTCGAACAGATGCTCAACCCCATGATTTCCAAAGGGCAGCCTGGACCCCCCGCACTGAACAGCATCCAAACGCTTCTCTGGTTCACGTGCCACGTCTGTTTGCAAACCTCCTTTGAAACTCTCTGAACAGAATATTATTCTTTAGTGGAAATTCAAGTGGTGACATATTTTGGTATTTCATGAGCACATTTTGAGAAATGAGGGAATTATTTTTTGTGGGGAGCACTGACATCAAAGTTTTCTACAGACTATCAGGTATTTTTGCTCAAAAACTTCAAGCTGGAAACTCAGTTCTCTTTCAAAATGCACTTTGGATGGGATGGCTTTGACCAGCCATGTCTGTGCAGCACCAAATCCTTCACTGTTTGGGTGAAAAGCCAGCAACAGCACAAAATTGCTTGAAAGACAAAGTATATCACCAAGTCCCTCAATAAGCCCTCATCAAGAGATCTAGTTTCACCTAGTTTTGCAGAAAATATGGCACAAAAATATATACAGACAATAGTAAATGATGATTCAGGTAGGCCAATCAGCAAGGGAGAATGAAATAAATCAGACATTTAATGAACACAAAAGATTATTCATAAATTAGAGCTTTTAAAGAGACTCTGCAAGTTTGCTGAGTGCACCCTTTCCCTGAAGGCTTTTCTGGGAATATTGGAAGAGGAATAAAGAAAGAAAGAAAGGAAAAAAAAAAGGTTTTCTGGGAACATCAGAAGAGGAGTAAGAAAGAAAGAAAGAAAAAAAAAGAAAGAAAAAAAAGAAACACAACATTTTTTTCTCCTTTTAAAAGTGTTTCCTGCCTTCTTTAAAATATATTCACGAAGCCAAAACGACTTTTTTCATTACCTTTGACATGCTGGTAATTACCTTGCCACAAAGCGAACGCCCTTATGGGGGCTGCGTGCTGGACTCACTATCAACCTATTTTTCTTCACTCCCACATTAACAGTCAAAAGAAGCAAGCTACTGTTTAATATTTAAAGAAAATGTTTCCTTCTTAACTGAGAAAGTTCCTCTGAAGACAGCAGGTCTCAGCAGGTGGCTTAGGAGCTCAAATTTTAATTAAAATTTCTAACTCTAAATGCAAATCACAGCACTTACTAAGAAATGCTTCCCAGCATGGACACCCTTATAAAAACATCACAGAGCCTTTAGGAAGGGGACTACATAAAGGACAGGAGCATACAGTGGAGGGGAAAATCCTGCATTAACCTACCCAGACCAGATGACCTAACAAATCTCTGGATCTTTAATTTCTGTGATTCACGATGGGAACAACTTTCTTGCAAACAACTACCGGGCACAGCCCCTCTTTCATGCTGTCCCTCAAAGAAAAGAAACATCTGCAGGATATAAGCTGTTCCTTAAATTAATTATTGATTTCACTCAGGCAAAATCACTTGCAATTATGGTGCCTGGTAATATTTGAAAAGCAATGATTTGGACCTGCTCCAGGCTGAGCACCTCGGGCATGGGCACACGTGTGAACACTGGCGTGTGCAGCAAAGGGCAGCTTTGCCTGCCAAAGGTTTTCCATGAGGGCCCTTCCTCGGGAACAGAGTTTAAGGGAGGTGGTAGGACGGTCACCTCCCTCCCGCAGGGGCGTCAAGGCCACCCTGGCCCTTTGGGGCAGCCCTTTCTGTTCCCTCCAGCTCCTCCGACACGTCCGGAGCCCCGAGCGCCAGCGCTGATGCCAGCCCTGCCCAGCAGCAGCTATTTCCATTTCTCTTGTGTTTCATGTGGGTAGGAGGGTCCCATTTCATCCCGTTCTGCTGCAGCCCTGCTAATTGTCTCTCCTCTCTCCAGCCTTTCTGCTACACGGAGCTGCACACATCCACGGCCTCAAGCCAGGCCCTGACGTAGCCAATCGAGCTGAATTCTTCCACGTCTCATGGTTAACCCAGAGGTAATTAGAGACTCTCAATGCGCTGTTTGCCCGTATCCTTATTATTTCATGGGCTTTGCTTTGTGGTGTGTTTAATGTCTCTGGATTAATTTAAGGGGTTCACCCACCTGAACTGAGGCAGAGGCTCTGCTCGCTGGGTCCTGCCCTGCTGCGCACGTACTCTGTGTATTTGATCACCAAGAGGGAACCTCTACAACTGCCTAGAGAGAACTTCTGCCCAGCACGCCACAAGCTGCTCCCTTTTGCCACTTGTATGCAGAGAACCCACATGTCCATAAACAATTTTTTTTAAAAAAACAAAAAGACTATCCCTTGCTCCCTCTCCAGGGCAGCAAAACAGACTGGTCCTCATAGATCCTGTGGTCTTTAATGTGCATCCCAGGGGCGTTAGTGAGGCTGTGATCGGAGACTGCTGCTCTGTATCTGCTCACTCTGTTCCTGGGTCTCAGCGTTACAGGACAAACCAGCCCTAGCATGGAGCCTGTGACATGTTTTGCCCAGGACAGGAACGCACAAGGAATGCACTAATAAAAAGATAATGAAAAAAAACAAAAATTGCTTCCAATAAATAAATAAATAAAATAACACAGACTGTGAAGAGCTGTAAGCCAAGGAATGGAAAATTAGATTTCAGAACAGAACATGGGAAGTAACAGAAGAAAAAGCAGGAGGAACCAAGTAAGATAAATGAATTTAAAATCTCCAAGCAACGTTCCCAGCCAGACATCCTCACCTCATCACACGGGGCTATCCTGTGAATCATGTCTTTCAGATGGCCAATCATCCGTTCTTCCTGAAAATCATACGGGAATGTTTCTGTCCACTCCGTCAGCAACTGTAAGATTTTGGGTCCAAATTTTCTGATCCGTGCCTGAAAAGGAAACCAGAGTGAAGGACAGGGATTGAAACGTCCTGACTCGTTTAAGTCTCAGCAAATATGTGTCTCACTGAACGCAGGGCCAAATTTTCAAAGAAGGCACTTACGGTTGCACCTGCAAAATCTCCACGCATGCAAACAAATAGTCTGGTGCACAACTGACACATTTCTGCATGCAAGATGTACCAGTCTCTATATGCATGCACAACTGTCTGCTTTACATGCAGATTTATGTATTTTGCCCATGCAATTGGCCAGTTTATGGTTGAATGGACATATTTTGTTGGTGCAACCTTAATACCTTATTTTAAAATATCTGGCCTTTTTGCTGATTTGAACCAGATGTTCCTCCCCACAACCCTCCTACGCTTTCATCCTTTCCTGAAGGACTGGTTGCAACGTTATTCCTTGACCAACAAAGAGGTGAGTCTTTTGCTTCTTTGCTGTCTGCCAGGGGGATGCACTGCTTAGGGACCACTGGGAGATGTAACACAAGGAAGAAAAAACAGACAAAACACGGGCACGTTAGTACCTTTCCCTGGACTCCTGATAACGTTGCCTTCTTCCCACAGGAATATGACACGATAAGGACACCCACTCATGTAACCCACAGCTGCTGCCCACTTTGCTTTTGCTGGAGGATCTGCAGCAGCAGGAACAGCCTGGGGATGATGCTGGGGATGAATAGTCTGGGGCAGGAAGGGAGAGGGAGGGAACAGCACTCCCGGTGCCTTTGTATAGTGTCAATCCCCTGGCACAGGGGCTGCTTCCAAAGCTTTCATCCTCCGTTACCCGAGAACACGGAAAGAGGAAATTGCGTTGAACAATAAACTGTATTTTTATTTACAGAAAACACACACCAAAACAAACAGCCTTCTTCTGCATACGTACTGTAGCTCAAGTGTACCCTGTAATCAGGAAAAATTATACTCTTGAGCTCCACAGAGCTCTGCTTTTCAACCACGGTGGTTAAAATGCATTTTTCAGCTTTCCACCAACAACAGGTTTCAATGAACCGCATCTCTAAAAATAACTGCTGTCAGCTGGCATTAAACTCACGCTCAAAGACCAGCAGGTGGCTACTAAAAGGAAAGCTTTCTTGGAAACTACAAAGGTCCGGGGATGCGTTTGCTCCAGCTGTGTAAACTGCTGCTGTGAATCCGAGGAGAGGGCTCTGTGCAAGGCACCGGCCACGGCTCAGGGGATGGGAGGTCACTCGTGTGCAGCTGCAGTTTCAAAGCCAGCCCCACTGTCAGGGACACAAAACCAGCCGGGTGCCACCAACTGTGTATTACGACAGGGCTGCTCGAAATGCTGCTGCACTCGGGGCAGATTGGGAGTATTTCTGTAATTAGGTAATAAGATAATGCCTCTCATTTCTTGGAAAGTCTGACAGGCAGCAGCAGTCTGCGGTGCCCACATCTGAATCCTCATAAAGGTGCTTCAGGCAAAGCAGCTGCCTTAGGGAACAGAACATCTCGCATCTCAGGAAAAGGGCTTGGGCGCTGCACCTGGAACACATTTCCAAACTGCCCTCGGGCCGCACGCGCCGCCGGATCCGCCTCTCCCGGGCGGCTCACGCAGGGAAGGAGCCGCTCCGGCACCCGTGCCACCAGCCGGGCAGAAACAAGCCCACGTGCTCACGTGATGGTGACTGATGCGGTTCTGGATGCCCAAAACACTGCGTTTCAAAGCTGGGAAGGTTGATCCTGAGACAGGATCTGTTTGAGGTTTCTGTTTGAGGTTTTGCTTTTTTTATTTTTTTGGAAAATTGCAACTGATGCCTGTTTGTCTCTCCTCCACTGCACTGCAGATATCCATCTCCTGCTCCAGGCAATGTACTGGACAGGTTTTCATCAACACCCCAAGGAGAGCCAAGTGGAGCCTGGCACTGAACAAGGGGATCCGTCTCGCCCGCAGTGCCTTTCGGATTGCCAGAGGAGGCACGTGTTTTGTCACCCACTGTATCTGTCTGCTCAGTCCGTGGGCAAATTGGGAGGAGCAGAGCGGCAGGAACAGCTTGGATTTTCCCGTCTCGTTAGCTCGCTGGAGCGTCGCCGCTGCGGCAGCTCCCGGGGTGCCAGACGGAGCCCTGCTCCGCAGCGCGGCCGGCCCGGCAGGGGAAGGGCCGTGGGGAGCCGCGTGCCCTCACGCTGCCCTCACAGCGACAGGGAAGGCCCAGGGGGCTGTTTCGCACTGTACTGGGGGCAAGAAAGCAAAAGGGCAGAAATGAGAAAGGCAAAAAGGAGAAATGGAGAGGGCTGTGCTGACAGCGGCGACGGAGAGGGTTGCGCTTGCATCCTACCTCCTCGTGTCCTGCAGGCCTCACCAGAGCCTTACAGAGGTAAGGAGGAAAATCACCTGGGAAGACTGAGACAGGGAAAGGGAAACTGGAAAAGGATTCACAGTGAGTAGTGCCTGCAGCATCGCTCTTGAGCACTCATACTAGGATGCCTCAGTGTCAGGATTGCAGCACTACTGCCCTTATGAGAACACTTCTGTTCAACCCAAAGGGAGCCCAAGGCCTCTCTGTCCCTTGAAAATACCTCATGTTTTTTTGCCATAAATCCAAACTAACCTTGTCCAACACCGGGTCATCCAGCCGCTGCTGCTCAATGCACTTGTGACAGACTCGGGACAGAAGCTCGTGAGGTTCGATGAAGAGCCTGGAAAAAATTTCTGCAGAAAAGAGACAAGCAGAGCTGCTGTAAGGCAGCCACCCAGTGACTAAGATTAGCCAGGAACCCCCTGAACTCCATGTTTATTGCTAGGCTTCTACTGCAAAACAGCGTTTCCCACTCAAAAAGCAATACAGACACCAGAGCACGGTCCCTGCTTAGACAGGAACAGCTTTTCATCACATGTGTCAATAAGTCACACTGGGACTCACGGCGGCCAGGTGGACATCCACTCTTCTGTGTTTATGAAATATAAACTTTTGAATGTTTACACTTTCTTTTAAACAGCAAAACCTGTTAGAGCAAACAGTCCACTCTTTTATAGCGGGGCACTGGGACAGGGTTGCAGAGCTGGATGTCTGGATTGCTGACCCTGGAACTGGTTGCATGCTGCCCTTCAAACCTCCCTCGAGCCGGTGGCAGCTCCTCCCTTCCTGGCACCCAATTCCACCCTCGCTGCCCAAACCCTTGGCTACCTGCTGTGTGGAGGGCCAGGAAGAGCCCCTCAAGCTCCCTCTGCAAGAGCCAGCGCGGCTGCAGGGGACGGCAGGAGCTGGGACACAGGGAGGCCAGGGAGAGCGGAGCGAGCGCAGCTCGGGGTGCCCCGCGGCCTGGGAGCTGCAGGGACCCCAAAGCAGCAACATCCCCCCGGAGCCCCTGCTCGTCCCGGCCTGCCTGCACTAGGGAAGCTCTCCCTCCTTCTGCTCACTCCCCACATTTGTTCCTAACAGCCAGGCTGGATCGAGCACAGCACCGCTTCACTGAAGCTCTAGGAAGAAGGACTCTTGGATAAGTCACGGGATTATTTAAAATACTCCTGAGGAGAATTTAAAATGTATGCATGAATCCTCGTTCCTTCGCATCCTGACCCTTCCTGGCGCCTGGATTATCTTCCTTTCGGCAGACCTAGCCTTGCTCCCAAGCAGTAGGTGAAATTATTTCATATCATATATTGCCTACTTGAAAATCTCACAGTCCAATCTTGCCATTACCCACTTTGATTGCCTCTCTGTTCTTTTTTAATTGATATGCTCCTTTATGACGTATTTTTAGCTGATCGGAAGCTGAGCTGCAGCTAATTTAAAACATGCTGCCTGCTCTGCATTGATAACTTTAGTGGTCTTCTAAACTCAGAAGCCAGTGCTACTCTGGCACTTTGAAATACAAGCCTTTCCATAGGGACACATTAGCACTTAAAAGTCTTCCAGCCAAACTCTGCCCTGAATTCCACTGAGGATGTGCAAATACAGTGAAGTCAATGGCTGGCAGGACCATAAACCTGCTTTCAGTGTAGATCCTTATACTATCAGTGAAGAACCACTGAATTTTCACTGAAGGAACAAAGATCTGAGCTCTGCTGTCCAGTGACTGTAGAGACTTTGCTCATACAACCATATAATGGTAAGTAAATTAAGAAGTCATCAAAATTTCTCTATTTTCGCTGAGGGAATGCTTTATATGTGCAGAAAAACTTTGATGGTTTTAGCAGCTGCTGAAATTCAGCTAATTTAATGCCAGTTCAGACTTTTTTCTTCAATCTTCATCTAAACCTCTCTGGGATGAGCTGCTATTTTTGAAGTTCTCCTACTGCTAAATCACTAATTCATCATCACCACAGCTTTTCTTTTTTTTCCCCCTCTTCTCTTATTTAAAGACAGTATCAACTTTGGGAACTGCTCTTTCATGGAAGCAATTACGGAGCAACGCAATAGCATTTAAAGTCATGCATCAATTTACCAAGCTTTAAATGTACGCAATTTTTACATAAGCCTTCTTAATTCAAAATTAAACACATCTGCATTTTTTGCATAAAGCGCTGTCCCAATTCATCAAAATTAAACTGTTTATTATGCTGTGAATTGCTTACTTCAGGGTAGTAATCAGTGGTGGGTATAAGATGCTGGATTAGAGCATCCAGAGAGGCTGAGGTAAGGTTTCCATCCTGGAAGATCAGTCCTCCTTGTTCGTCTTCTTTCGAAGTATGTAGATGAGGGCTGAAGCCACATGGGGTAAACATGCTGGTAGACCTCAGCGTTTGGGGCATCCCTTCCTGCAACAGAGAGAAACTGGTGTCAGGGACAGATCTACTGGATTTACAAGCAGAGTCTCAGCTGCTGATGACTTGAAAAAATACACAAACCACTAATACAAGTTCCCTGTCCACAAAATCAGCACAATCCCTCCACGACACCCTCCATGAGGCCCTCTTTTACACTGGTCACCAGCTGATGACGCCTGTGATAGGGAATACAGAAAAATGGAACAGTTTGTGCCTGCTTTGAGGACACTAAATGACAGTGGCTGCTCTGGGCTCCCAACTCCAGGCAAGGTCTGTGCCAACTTTCCCTGAGGCCCAGAGCAGTCCCCAGCAGGAGCGGCGAGATCCTCGGCACTCGAATCCTGCAGGTCCAAGGAGAGTGGAGCAGGAGCTGGGAAGCTCCATCCCTCTGAGAAGAAGCCAGGGAGGACTGAGGGTGGGAAGGAGCAGGAAGGTGCCAGGCAGGGTTCGAGAGGAGCCTCGAGCAGGGCCGAGGGGCAGCAGAGCCGCCCGAGCGCTGGGGGACCGGCCCAGGACAACATGGCAGCCAAGCGGAGGATGCACAAGGAAAAGAGAGGAGGAGGGAGGAGAGAACACGGGAGCTGAGAAGAGATTGAAAAACAAAGAGAAATGAGGAAGAGGGAAAAGCCAGACACTCACACTATTTTTGGAACCTGAAGTTACTTAGTCCTAGATCTATACTTAGGCACTAAATATACGTTTCAGAAAGACCCTGAGCACTCATCGACTTCACTCGTGCTGCAGGACACACAGCACCTCTGACAGGAGGCCATCCAACCTCAGCAGCCACCTTCAAGCTCCTTTTACTTCAGTTTTCTGGGCTCTAATGGATGACTTTCCAGGCTTCACCTCAATTTTGTGGCTTACAGTCAACTTTAACTCTTCCTTCTGTTGAGCAAAGTTGCTTTGCTTCCAGATTGGTGCATCACGGAGAAGGACCAGGCTCTTTCTCACTCCCCCATCCACCAGCGCATCAGCCCCAGCCAAGATCTTTGCAAACACCTCCGCGACCTGCCAACCTGCTCCTAAATTTCATTTTCCTTGGGGTGAGGGAAAATGCCAAAGGGAAGCACCCAAGCACCAGTCTCTATCCCCTAAACAGCCCTGGAAGCCCGTCCTGGCCTCCAGCTCTGCCTGTTGAAGGACCAGGCCCATCCCATAGCCCTCCGGCCCCGGGGCCCATATTCTGGGGAATATACTTTATCTTAAAGACCAGAACATCCAAACGGCATCCAGGCCAGGCTGCAAGCTGAAATATTTAATTTTAATGAACGTGCAGATGTGCTCGTTCAATAAGACTCCAAGAGCAACTAATTGCTGCTTTTTGTACACAGCTCAAACTTGGTGTAGTAAATAGGAAAGACTGCCAAATCCCATCTGCTATTGCCAATGCTATGTTACATCTTGTTTCTATGGCAATAATCCCAAGAAAGATGACGCATCCATTTAGATCAAGAAATAAATCTCCTGGACATACAGCTGTCCAGAAAAGTTAAAACAATTCGGAATTTATAGGACACATCCTCATTTCAATGTAAAATAGAGGGCTCCAAGTAAAAATTTATACAGTGCAATCCCTTGCTGTCAATGCCTTTTTTATTATCAAATAGGAACATATCTGAACAGGATATTGCCTCAACTTTTGCATCTCATAAGAAAACTTGATGAAACACATAGTAATGCTACGCAAGTAAAGGTTCCCACTGTTTTTAAAACTGCATAAAGCCATCTGTCCAGCCATGGTTGACATACCTTTCAGTACTGCAAAGAAATCAAATGGCAAAGAAATTTAAAAGTGACAGCAATATATTCCTTTTAACCTTTTTCCTCCACTGGATACCTCAGTATCCAACTCCGAGGAAGGCACATAATCCACAAGACACTTCTCTCTGCAAATTATGCTACTTACACAAAAATATTTGCGCAACGACTTGATTCACTGAGTCAAAAACTGGAATGAAACGATGACTAAGCCAGCGGCAAACCCGGCACTTGCAACACACGGCAAGTGCGTCGAAACCTCCAGGAAATGGTTTTCCATGCCCAAAGCTGAGGGGACACGGGTTAAGGAAACAGCTGCCCAACCTTGCACGTAACGTGGGGCCAACTATCCACCAAAACCCATCCCCTCTCCCGTTGCCGTTTCCCTGGTCTCACGTTGCACCCACAGCACGAACCCCTCGTCAGCGCTCGCCAGCTCCAGCAGCCGCTGCCACTAACGTCCCCATGGCAAGTTTAGTTACTGCTTACGTGGACATGAAATGTTCAGGAAACACTGAATGTGTTTTTCAGCGGCTTTGATGTGATAAGTGCTTTATCCTTTTATCAAAAGCTTAATTGCACTGTTTACTTTTGATCTTTGTTTCATCTCTGCCTTCCATCTGCTCTGCCTCTCTCGGGGAGGCGGCGAGCCGGGACGTGACGAAGGCAGCGGCGCTCCACGCTTCCCTGCCTTCCCGCTTAAATTTCAGATTAGCAAAATAAATAGAAACCTTCCTGCTTCAGGGATGGAATCTTGAAGATTTCCCACCAAAACTATGGGAGCTGGAGAGGTGGCAGGGGAAGGTGTCCCGATAACATCATGGGTACGGTGGGCTCCCCCGTGCAAGGACTGGGGCACCTCGGGCAACGTCTTTGAGCACGAGCAGGGCGTTCACTGAGGGCACGGGGGACCCAAGACCAAGTGCAAGGCAACAGACTTGAACAAATATCCCTGACCTAGCGGGACTGGAGTGCTTCGTGCTGGTCTGGGAACAGAGGCAGGGGATGCCTCCCACCCCATTCCGTCTGGACCCTGCACTATCTTCATCAACTCGGGTCCAGATGTAGCTGGAGTCTCCAAAGAGGCAGCTACAGAAGGCGTGGAGCTCCGAGCTGCCGCTGAAGCCCAAAGGCAGAAGCAGACCCGGCGGGGAGCAGCAGGTTGCACCGCGGGCGCGGGTCTGGGGCCCTCCTCAGCGACAGCGTTGCAGACAGGCTGCAGGAAACAACTGGAGCCGGGGGATCCTGCTGTTAGTTACCACGTTATTTGGCAGGGAGACGCTTTGTCAATGATGGCTGAAAAGGACAGAGAGCTGCGTTTGGGATGAGGCTGCGGATACTTCCACGGGCTCATCCTGCCAGGGCTTCCACAGCTCTCCAGGTGCTGGATGCAAAAACGAGCTCCTGCACTTTGGGGCCGTAGCTCCAGGTTGCTCCCTGACGGCCACCTTGGCCGCGGTGACTGCCGCAGGTCCCCGGGCACCGCGGGGACACAGAGGGAGTGCTCAGGTAGCCGATCCAGCCCGGCAGCGTGGGGACACCGGCCGCGCCGGGGACACGGGCCAGGCTGGGGACACGGACCAGGCCAGGGACACGGACCAGGCTGGGGACACGGACCAGGCTGGGGACACGGGCCGCGCCGACACCCCTGCAAGGGAGTGCGAGGGGAGATGTTGAGCGGGAACGCGGCAGCGAGTCCCCTCCAGCCAGCCCAAACCACAGCAGCAGGGACTGCGCCAACACGTGCTCATTCTTCTACATGAATTTCAGTGATTTTCAAGCTATTCATCCCTGCAGACAAGAAAAAAAGAAAAAGTCCTAGCAAGATAATCATAACGACTTAAAATTCAGACCTTTCTTCCTTTTGTACGGAGGGAAGCAGAGAAAGGAGGAGGGAAAAAAAACTCAAGGGTTTCAGAAAACAAAAGGCAAACCACTGCAAAGTAATTGCTTCCATTTGTCAAGGCCACGGTTATAAATGTTCTTCTCCAGCAAGAGTACTGGCATTAACAAACTCCTAATGCATTTGATGCTGATGTAATTAGGAAACTGATAGCAGATGTAACTTTCTTTTCACCTTTTCAACACGCCATAAAACATTCAATTTACAGCCCATGGAGTTGTGAGATTGCACAAAACCCAACCTGTCAATCCCAATAATGTTGGGAACGGTAAAATGAGTAATATAATGAATGTACACAGCGTAGCGACACAAAAGCATCACCAGGGATAAGAACTGAGGGACTGGAAAGGTGGGAAGAAAGCGTTTAACCAAACTAAGTGACAGTGATTACACCTAGAAGCCAGTGCCTCTCCTGCTCTCCTAGTCATACCTTGCATTGGCTGGGGCACTTCTACTCTGATTCACAGGAATGGAATTACAAGAGAAGGGGGAGAATTTAGGGACTTTGGTTTTTGGGTATCTAATCAGACTTATATGGAAATTCGATTTCCTTTGATGCCACCTGGTTTTCACCTCCAAGTCATCTCCCTTTCCAAATCACTCGCTCCCCTCTATCAGGTTCACTCGCAACCCCCTCACGTGGAGCTGCCTTCGGGTGTTGAGATAGGAAAGAAAAAACCTCTGCTCAACCTAAACCTCCAAGAGTCCAGAGCAATCCTGTGCAAAGGAAAGAAAACCAGGCAGAACACTTCCAAAATGCATCGTGGCAAAAGGCAACCCCTGAGGGGACGTTAGGAGGAGCCTTGCGATGCCCGCAAAACTTTCTTTTTTTTTCTGAGTAAAATTTCTCTTGAGGGGAGGAGAAATTCCCATACGCACCTGGTGTGGCCCAAAGCAAAGTGCTCTGGAGAGGAATCTCCATGGGAGTTTCTGGAGCAGCTAAACGAGAGCTCTATTCCCTGACACATGCACATACCTGCGCTCAAAGCCATCCCCATGGAGAAGCACGTGTGTATCTGCCAGCTGAACTTGTTCTGTCGTGACAGCGAGAGCGATCATAGCTACCATTATACCCGAGGTTTATGACAAATACCTCGCAGCCAAAATACTCCAGTGAAAAAACAACTACTCCAAGCAATTACCTAGAAATCGGATGGACATGCTTCAGAAAGAGGCCCCATTTACAGGTGAGGAGGAGGCATTAAATCAATTACCACTGCAGCACTTGCAAGAATAAGGTCACCTTGCTGAAGGAATATTTCTGTTTATGCTCATGTCTGAGTATTTCGTTCGATAGAGAAAAATGAAAACCTGATTATCGT